CGCTCAATTAAAAATACACACAGCTACGGCATAGATGAGATCCCTCAAATTTTACTAAAACAATGTGCAGAAAAACTGTCAATATCGCTCACATTCCTAGTGAATCAAAGTCTCCGAGATGGCCAGTTTCCAGACCCCCTAAAAATATCATTGATAAAACCAATACACAAAAAGGGCGACACTTACACTCCTAGTAACTATAGACATATAGCTCTATTACCCACGTTTTCGAAAGTGTTTGAAAAAACAAGGTGTTCCTTCCAGATTATATGAGTTTTTAGAAAAATATAACATCCTCGATGACAGCCAAAACGGCTTTAGGAAATCAAGATCAACTACACTGGCAGTATATAAGTATATCCAGACTGCCCTAAAACATATAAATGATAAGAAACATGTACTGGGAGTATTACTTGACATGACGAAAGCATATGATAAAGTACTGTACGACATTCTTTTAAATAAACTGCACGGTTCTGGTATTCGCGGTCAAGCTTACACATGGTTTAAATCATATTTGGAAAATAGATCACAAATAGTGCAAATTGACCATTTCGATTCCAACACAAATGAGGTTAAAATAGTGAGATCTGAGAAAAGGAGTATAAAATGCTCAATTCCACAGGGCAGCGTGTTAGGTTGTGTGCTGTTTCTGATATACACTAACGACTTGCCAAAAGTACTAAATAAAGAACAAACCTTGCCCGTCTTATTCGCTGATGATATATCAATTTTAATTGCATATGACAAAACCAAAAACCCAACACAAATACTTCGAGAAACTCTAGACACAGTAAATCGCTGGCTCAATGACCATAACTCAGAAATTAACTATAACAAAACGAAAACCATCCAATTTAGAACATACAAAAACACCCCCATAAACATCGACACAACATACAACAACACACAGCTAGAAACCGTAAATACATTCAAATTACTTGGTATAACTATAGACACGCACGTCAACTAGAAACCACACATATATAAAAAAAAAAACTATCTCAATTCACATACGCTCTATTCCAACTTAAATGCAGCACAAACGAAAAAACCGCACTGTCAGCATACTACGTATATGCATACTCCTGGTTAGGATACGGCATTATGTTGTGGGGAAATACTGTTGACACTTTCAGGATCTATTTATACTGCAAAAGAAATGTATTAGAATCATCGGCCAAATTGAAAATCTTGACAGTTGCAAACCCTATTTCATTAAAAATAACATCCTCACACTACCATTATTATACATATTTGACATTTACATATTTGTATTCAAGAACATAAATCACTTCATAAAAGTAAAAGACAATCACAATATAAACACACGCCACAGAGAGAGACTATACCTACCACCATCAAGAATTAAAATGCTAAACCAGAGTCCATACTACATGGCTGTAAAAATATACAATAAATTACCTATCCACATAAAAACTGAAAATAAGATTACACTTTTCATTAATAAACTAAAAACATTGTTAACAGAAAAATGTTTCTACTCAGTTAAAGAGGACATTGAAGCAAAACACGAATAACAAATTGTATATCTTTTACACAAATAACAGAACTAATATACCTAAACATTAGGTCAACAGAAATACATAAAAAAAGGAAAAAGCGGTTTTGATACACAAAAATTACTATGGACAGTATCTGATATCCGTAGAAGAATAAATACTCGTATTGTGTTGATATAAAAGGTCATAAATGCCTTAATATTTTGCACAATTTAATACTGTTAAATTATTTACAATATTATTAATTCATTCTTTAATGTTTTTACTCTATAATGTTTGTATTTAATAACTTATTTTATTTCCCTTTCTCAAATTTGCAATGCCTGAAAAAGGCTACTAAGTTGAGAGAAATTTTTATTATTATAAGACGGAGACCATTAATGTACACTTGTTTGGCAAATAAAGATTGATTGAACTTTAAAATTGGTAACTAAATAGTGACGTTTACTGGATAACAGAGGCTAATAAATGTTCTAGAACAATCTACTAGAAATAATAAAATTTAAAGATAATTCGGTAAATATATTATGTTATATTTACGATAATAAACCGAAATCACGTTCATTTTTTCCTCCGTATTGTGACTTACAATATCTTAATGCACAACCGGGCATATTTTCATTAAAAATATTTTTTAAATATCTGAAACGAATGCGTCTTGTCTTTTTGACGATGTCACTAAGACTAAATGACAAAAATCGGAGATATATCCTATAGGACATAAGTTACAGATGACAATTTTGCTACTGATGTCCGGTCTATTACTACTACTATTTAAATGTCTTTGGTCAAAACAAACTGAAATGGACCGTACCTCAAGGCAATAAGACTTAAAAGTGCAGTTTTATTTGTATTAATACAAATTCCGTCCTTCAATACAAAATAAAGAAAATCGAACCTTATTTCAAATATGTTAAAATCTACAAATACAGAGTTTGGAGTGCGTTATAAAGGTCGCGGCGGCCAGGCCATTGACCTCCCAGATCAGCTGATTTGACGCCTCTTGACTTTTTTTTATGGGGACGCATTAAATTATTAGTTTATTTTAGTGAGACAAGTGCCGAGTACCTAAAAATAGGATAGTGAACGCTTTTAGAATAGTGTAAAATGACACTGAATTACTTTCTAAATTATTTTCTTTCTTTTTTTTCAAAACGTAACCTCCAACACTGAGATTTTCTCTTGTATTGTGGGGGCAGCTTACAAACATAAATTGCACAAGGACAAACATCCAGACCCGAAACAATTATTTGTAGGCTATACAAATACTTGTTCCGTGTGGGATTCGAAACCGCGGCCCTTATAACGCTGCAACTCAATTGCTAAGCCACTGCGCCATGGAGCCGTGGTGGACATTTTGAAAGTGTATTAAAATACAACGTTGCATGAGAGTTTAGGCTATCAGTAAGTTAAATATTTGATTCTTAAAATTATTGTAATCTTGATTTACATCTTTTAAACACGCCGTCTTTGAATTATGTTATCGTATTGCCTCTTATTTTTAGCAGTTCACTATTATTTACAATTAAAATGTTATGCAAATTTATAAGATTGTGTAACGAATGTTGCCTATTGACATTTTATCATAATCAATAAAAAAATTATTCAGAGTCGAAAGTCCAAAGCCTGAAAAGTGTGATGGAAAGATGCAATGAAATGTTTACTAGACTTAAATAAACAACTCAATGCACGGAGTTCTGACATCTGTTAATGTTCAGGTAGGTATTTCTTTAACGTAACCAATCATGCATTGTCGGCTTTTTTCGGCACTAATACCTACCTACAGTTGTGTCAAGCGGCGGCGGCGTTATCTCGTCTCGAACGCGAGCAATACCTACTAGGCTAGCAAGACCTATAACTAGCGTTCGTGGTTTTGTACGGTGACCACAACATTCTTCCGGAATTAGTATAACTGATTTAATAAATAATCAATGCATAAACATGTTTCACTAAGAATTCAGAGTATGTATTGTGATATACCAATTAGGGTGTCTGAGGTTGTGCGTTAATTACGTTAGATGTTGACGCGAACGGAGGGCTATAACTGTTCGGTGTAATACGCCCGCACGACGATTTTCGCGGTGCAGTCCTGAGGCAACGCTAACCGTTTAGATCATGTTGTCAATGTTTCTTTACTTGTCAGCTTTGGATGGACAGCATCAAAAATGCACGTTTTCAGCATTAAAGTGCAGTATAATAATGCATACCATATTGTGATGAAACAGCCTAAATACTACCGTGCGTCGAGCATGTTACCGATGCCAGGGTGCCCGATTACTTCGCTGTATTAGATCACGGGTTGCAGCTTTTTGGCCCCACATCCGCGATTCTGAGAACGAAATCCTCAGGGTGTGTTATGAGTGTCCAGAGAATCCCATACTAAAATATTAACTGTAAATAGATAGTATGAACCCCCTTTTGGGGGCAATTTTAGTATTAACTTATAATTTCGGTTGAATTGCCGTTTGTTTATTGTATCCTTATATTATATTTTCATTTTGTTTTGATATTTGAATTGGGTGAAGCCTGAAATAAATGACTATTATTAAAAATATTAATGTAACGGTATGTTGTGTCATGGCATACGCATTTGAACTCCAAGTATCAAATTTGAAAGAAATCTTAGCCAGTAACTTCTTAAAACGATAAAATTCAATGTTTGGTTGTAGCAACAATAATAGTAATATTAAACTTCTGATAACAAGTGAACATGGGCTGCGATTTTTCGGAATATCGTTTTCCGATCTTTATTCGATATTTAGTTAAAAGCTAGTACTGAATAAAATACTTTAGACTTTGATGTTTAAGTATCCCAAAACAAATGCCACTGAAATAAAGAAAACTGTTCACATTGCCATTCATATTTTATTTCACAAAGGAATTTTTACAAAAGTATCAGAATCTAAAATAATACAGTAATAAATCATTATTAAACTTCAAAAAAAAATTGTGATTAACAGGGATGAGAATTGATGAAACTATGATCTAAATTAACGAGTACATTCCGATTCCATGTCATGGTATCTGTTATATCACTATTACAGGTCTTTGGAGAAAAAAATCTTAAAATAATTATTCTAATTTTTATTTTATATTTATTACATTTACACTAATCAATCCACAACACATTAACATAGAATGGAATCTTTGTTTCACCCTATTAAATAATAAATTACATGTACTCAACATTTTATACAAGGCAACAAAAACAATGTGTTTTTGAAATGATAATAAATAACGTGTATCTACATATAAAATACAATATTTGCTATGATGTTCCATTCAGGTATGAAGAGGCATTTAACTACGTTTCAATTTACAAATGTGAATAGGACAAATAATGTTCAACTCACATTTATTTTAGTAAATGCATTCAATTATCCTGAATAAAGAAGCTAGTGGTTTTAAATGCATAATTTTATTATTGTGCAAATAAAATGATGTTTGGAAATATCAGTTATGAAATCAATCCTCTTTTCAGCTTCGTTGGTTGGCATTGGCTTTCGTGAAATTCTCTATATCATCCAATGATCTTTTTGCTTTGGATGATATATCGTCCATGGATCTACGAGCTGTTGTTGTAATATCATCAAATGATTTTTTTGTTTGTGATAACAGTTCATCAGTGCTTTTACATGCAGAACTAGCAAATTCTTTTATTTCAGTGTCCAATTTTCCTATGACCCATTCAATTGCTTGACGTCCTTTTCCAGCATTTAGGGAAATTTTATTGGTTAGTAAATCTTCCATATAATTATTTAAGGGCACTCCCTGAAAATAAAAAAAATTAAACTTAATTACAATGTTTTGAAAAAATAACACTTATGAGTAAATTTATCCCCCATAATCATCACCGTAATATCACTGCTGCTGGATGATGACCACTCCTAAGAAGGGTAGAAGTGATGGTGGTTATGGGTTTGACGGTTATTTAACGTATATTTGAGGTGGGTATTTTTTATCATTTAAAGATCACCAAATTTTACAGACATTTAATTAGATGCGAAAGCGGACGGTATAATAGTAAATAAATTAATATCTATGTGGGAAAAGGTACACGTGTGAATGCAAATTACAAATGAACATGCAAGTTTCATCCAAAGACTGTGTACTACTAGACTGGTAATTCAGAACAAAAACTGTCACAGTTGCGGATCGCGCGGGTGCGGACTTGGGCGGCGGCGGGAACAAGAACGCTTATATATATTGTACCTTCTTATATAATTTATTTATTGTGAAATGATACCACTGAGGTATCGATACTTTTACTCGATACAGCATCGGTCGTAAAGTATCGATACTTGGTATTGATTGAAAAAGTATCGATTGATTTTTTGTAGAAAACTAGAACTTGAAGGATTTCAAGTACAGGTTTTCCACCCACTTTCAGAAGCTTCGCTGTAATTCCATCCTCGCCCTGGGCCTTGCCATTTTTAAGGTGCTGGAGAGCCATTTTAATCACGCTCAGACTGACGTCCGGGATATCATCGGAATAGAGTCGGATAAGACTTGCTCTTAGATTGTTACTCACACTTGCGTGTTGCTCCAACTATGACGTATGCAGCTTCCCATCATCATCATCATTACAGCCTTTCATAAGTCCACTGCTGAACATAGGCCTCCCCCAAGGAATGCCACAAAGCACGGTCCTGAGCCACCTGCATCCATCGACTTCCTGCATGTCTTACCAGGTCGTCACTCCATCTCGTGGGGGGGGGGGGGGGGTCGCCCTACACTTCGCCTACCGGTACAAGGCTGCCACTCAGATGTATATTCTTTTCGATAGAATCGAGCACCCAAAAATTTACTCGTGCTGCTGAATGTAGTGTAGCTCCCATGATAGTATATATTAGTGTCAAGTTAAGAATAAGAGTCATCATCATCATTACAGCCCTTCACAAGTCCACTGCTAAACATAGACCTCTCAAGAGGCTGCCACTCAAGAACCTTTCTTCCCCATCGGTTGTCAGTTCTTCGAGCTATATGGCCGGCACACTGCCACTTCAGCTTACTAATCCGTTGGGCTATGTCAGTTACTCTGGTTCTACTGCGGATATCCTCATTCCTAAGTTTATCACGCAGAGAAACTCCGAGCATAGCCCTCTCCATAGCTCGCTGAGCGACCTTGAGCTTCCTCATACGGCCAGCAGTGAAGGACCACGTCTCAGATCCGTAAGTCATCACTGGCAACACGAACTGGTTGTACAATTTCGTTTTAAGGTTTTGAGGAATGTCTGACGAGAAGATGTTGTGTCGTAGTTTCCAGAACGCTGCCCAGCCGAGTTGAATCCGTCGATTGACCACTCGGTCGAAGTTGGACTTACCTAGTCGGACTATTTGTCCCAGGTAAACATACTCGTCAACAACTTCGAGCTTAGTGCTCCCAACAACTACCGGCATAGGTGTGACATGGACATTAAACATAATCTTTATTTTGTCAATGTTCATCTTAAGACCTATCCGTTGGGAGACACTACTGAGGTCATTGAGCATTGTGCTTAGGTCCTCCAGCGATTCTGCCATAAGGACTATATCGTCGGCAAATCGAAGGTGAGTGATGTACTCACCATTGATGTTAATACCGTATCCTTTCCAGTTCAGAAGCTTGAAAACGTCTTCCAATGCAGCGGTGAAGTGTTTCGGGGATATAACGTCACCCTGTCTTACACCTCTCTGCAATTGGATAGGTTTCGTACTCTGGTTCTGTACTCGGATAGCCATCGTAGCTCTACTGTACAAGCACTTCAGCACTTCAATATACCGACAGTCAACTTGGCACCGCTGAAGGGACTGCAGCACCACCCAAATTTCGACGGAATCAAAGGCTTTCTCATAGTCCACATACGCCAGGCATAGTGGCAAATTGTACTCCTCGGACTTCTGTACAACTTGCCGAAGGGTATGTATGTGGTCTATGGTGCTAAAGCCCTTTCGGAAACCGGCTTGTTCGGGAGGCTGGAAGTTGTCAAGTCTGCGTTCGAGACAATTCGTAATGACTCTCGAAAACAGCACGTAGACGCGGCTCAGAAGGGAAATCGGTCTGTAGTTCTTCAAGAGAGCATTGTCACCTTTCTTGAAGGACAAGACCACCGTACTTCTGCTCCACGCCTCCGGTGTAATGCCACCACGGAGGACGAAATTAAAGAGCCTCTGAAGGACTTCCAGTACCGGTTTTACACCCGCTTTCAGAAGCTCCGCTGTAATTCCATCCTCGTCTGGGCCTTGCCGTCTTCCCGTGGAACCTCAATTTCATTTCAAATCTCAGGTGTTACGGAAACAATGCTATCCCATTCGGTCTTCAGTTTCTACAGTTGGCTCTTTCTGGCTGGCAGATCTCTGACGAGTATGGAACCTTGGTTCTGCCCGATCGCTTCTTCAATACTAGCTGTATTGAAGTTGCGTAAGTCCCGCCGCATGCATTTAGAGATCTGCATGTGCAGTTGCCTGTATGCTGATGGCAGCATATGGATCTGCTGCCATGAGATTTAGCTCCGACCACATGTAAAGTATCCACTATTTACTTCCTGTAATATGTACTTAATACTTACATAGTATAAATTTACTTTATTTTCAAAGTTACTATCATACCCAAACTAGGTCACAGAATTATATAGTTTTATACGGACCTAAAATCTTTTAGACTCATTAATCTTACATCCTTTTTCCTAAAGACAACGGAGAGGCTTTGTGAAAGGGAATTAAGGGGGTCAGCGCTAATGAGCATATTTGTCATGTAACGAGCATGATAAACAACATGCCTACAACTTTAGTAAATCGACAGAATAGGCACTACATCAGGTAATGACAAGGATTGAAGAGGCCATCCATAACAAAGTAATATGTCTAGGTTCCTTCAGACATAGAAAATGCAGTAGATACAGTAGATACAGAGTCGAACCGTATCATTGACTGGGTAGTAAACATGCTCAGCAAACGAACAGTAAAGATTGACCGGTAGATAGACTGGTGAGTCTCAAACAGCCCAATTAAAGAAAGGTTGTCCAGCAGGGTGGGATTCTTACGTCTCTCCTGTGGAATATGGTCATGAACAAGATCATCAGCAAATTAGATGTTAATTCATCCATCCATCCATTACAGCCTATAAATTTTCAGCAGTGAACTTTACTGCTGAACATATGCCTCCCCCATAGATTGCCTCATGGAGGGAGTTTTGCCAGTTACCGCGCTTGGCAGGCGGGTTGACAACCGCAGCTTTTTTTTTAATAATTTTAAGTTGCTTTCAGGAAGATGATGCTGCTGCCCATTTCCTACTCCAGTTTCCCTCTGTCGCTTCGTACGACACCCCCGGGATGATATGGGATAGTGGATATTCTTAGATCTGGTAGATGGGCAGCAGCATCTTTCTGATAGCAGCAAAATAACAATAAAAAAACTGCGGTTTCCACTCCAGTAGCTTGAAAACGTCTTCCAATGCAGCGGTGAAGAGTTTCGAGGATATAACGTCACCCTGTCTTACACCTTTCTGCACTTAGATAAGTTACGTACTCTGATTCTGTACTCGGATAGCCATCGTAGCTCCTATTGTACAAACGCTTCAGCACTTCGATATACCGACAGTCAACTTGGCACCGCTCAAGGAACTGCAGCACCGCCCTAATTTCAACGGAATCAAAGGCTTTCTCATAGTCCACATACGCCAGACATAATGGCAGATTATACTCCTCGGTCTTCTGTACAATTTGCCGAAGGGTATGTATGTGGTCTATGGTGCTAAAGCCTTTTAGGAAACCGACTTGTTCGGGAGGCTAGAAATCGTTGAGTCTGCGTTTGAGACGATTCGTAATGACTTGAAACAGCACGTAAACGCGGCTCAGAAGGGAAATCGTTTCTTAGTTCTTCAAGAGAGCGTTGTCGCCTTTCTTGAAGAACAAGACCACTGAACTTCTGCTCCACGCCTCCGGTTTAGTCCCACCATGGCGGACGGAATTAAAGAGCCTCTAAAGGACTCCAAGTACTGGTTTTCCACCCGCTTTCAGAAGCTCTGCTGTAATTCCATCCTCGCCCGGGAACTTGCCGTTTTGAAGGGGCTGGAGAGCCATTTTAATCACGCTCAGACTGACGTCCGGGATATCATCGAAATAGTGTCGGATAAGGCTTGCTCTCGGATCGTTACTCACACCTGCGTGTGGCTCCAACGATGATGTGTACAGCTGCCCATAGAACTTCTCAATCCCATTCAAAATCTCAGGTGTTCTGGAAACGATGCTGCCACACTCGGTCTTCAGCTTCCACAGTTGGCTCTTTCAGCTGACAGATCTCTGGCAGACTTCGGAGCGCTGGTTCCGCTCGATCGCTTCTTTAATACAAGCTGTATTAAAGTTGCGTAAGCCTCGCCGCGTGCATTTGGAGATCTGTCTGTTCAGTTGGCTGTATGTTGTCAAATCTGCTGAAGGCTGCAGCTTCATTTCCCGTCTAACAACGATGAGATTGAGAGTGTGATCTGAGAGTTTTATGTTCTTCTGCAGCAGGTCTTGCAAAACTTAGCTCCGACCGCATGGACAGTTTCCACGAGCTTGTCATACATATCGTCCACTGCATTGCAGTCGTCTAGGCACTGAAAACGATTTTGTAACTCGAACTGAAAGTTTTCGGGACTTTGGATTAGAGCTCTATGAGGGTGGAGAGTTGCACTACATATAGGACACTGCTATTGTCTTACTATTGTGTCTGGAAACCGGACAGTGAAAGTGTTAATGTTAAACAAATGTAAAAGTAAAGTCGATCTGAAAACGTCTAATTAGTAAGAATAGCAAAACAAAACAAAAACAAAATAGTGTTTTCTAAAGGAAAAAAAAACAATAGCCAGATGCGCCGTAGCTATACGGCGGCGGATGAACAAAAGTCTATTTATTAGCGAACTTTTTTATGCATGAACGGGTTCGAACTGATTCAAGCAAAAATAAACCTTATACCATATCACAATAGCACATGGTACTTCGTAGGTTTATTCGGCCATATGATAGCAATAAGACGGCAGTTCAACCATTTTAAGCAAAATTAAACAATAAGACAAACGCATTTGGTTTTTTTTTAACAGGAGACTTGTTTCCCAGAAACTTATTTACAACTTGATTTTGTGAACGGTCGCAATGAGTGCTATTATTTGTTACTTATTACGACTATTTTTTCACACAGTAAAAAGAGTACCATGTACAAGTTAAAAAAAGGTTGTCAACCCCTAAAAATTTCAAATTCTCAAAATATCCAGAAACGAAGCTGTAGACATGAACTACTTGCAAAATAATGAATATTTTGTTCTACATAAAACTTCCAAAAACGCAATTTGAGCGCGTTGTAACGATTAAAAAAAAAGACACGACTCGCGTGTCAGACGCCACACAAAAATAATCGATGGCACGCCTGGCGCACATCCTTACTGAATCCGTTAAATAAATCACTATGGTAGTACATATTTAGAGAACTTACTCTAGGTATTAAGTAGTAATGGTGCCAGAGGTTGGTCTGTACGGCTGTTACTGGCTACAAGCAGCCTTAGGCTACTTCTAAGGCAGTTAACTCCATTTCATCTATACCAGGGGTGTCAAAATTGTTTTTATATAGGGCCATTTACGAAAGTAAATGGTATGCTAATATAATTAATAATAACAGTTCTTTTGGCTTTGCTGTAGTTGGGCAGTCTTTATTTAGGAACTAAAGGTCAACTAGCCTGAGTGAATATGCGCGCAATTTTAAATACGTATACCACGTATAGTGGCGTTATCATCGAATTTACTGAACTTTGTCCTATTAGTATATGAGTAAAATCTTTAGATATGATTGCGGGCCGTTTACTAATTGACCGCGGGCCGTGAGTTTAACGTGAATGGTCAAGAAATTCAACAAGCCATCAGAGTCAAAACTCTAAACTTTTGAAGTAACAACTGGTCGCCTCAAACATGTATGAATTTACAAAGAAAATACTACTAGCCAAATACGACACGATCACTGAACACTGTTTTTGCTAAGAAATACAAAATTAAATTAAATAAATTGTCCGGAATGTCCGAACCCCATAGACTTAAAATCATCAGACTCTTTTTACTGATTTTGAAGCATTTCGTCTCTCTTCTAAGTTTTCAAGTGTGATAACGCATCTGCATTTTGATGTTCTTAATCGTGGAAATACTCGCCATCAACTGTTATGTATTCACTTGTCACCCTTATTCTTTAAACATCCCAATAATACGAGTAGTTGTTGTTAACCCAAATAAAAAAGATAAAAATGACCACTCCATCCGAATATAATGTGATGAACTAAGTGATGATATACATATGTACAATTACTACCTGCGTTTAAACGAGATGTGTAAATTCAACAGTGTCACCTTATACTGATTAAAGGTCACAGCAAATTGAGGAGAAACTACGCGGTGCTAGAAGTCGTAGGATCCGCACTGACTATACCGATCTTGTTTGGACATGCTTGTTCACTAGTGTACGTAAACGCTTCAATTTTGGACAAGCCATAAGGCGACATGCAAACAAGCGAAGAAAAGCTTTGCCTGAAATAAATTGTTGCATCTCGTCTTAACTGGACATGGTTCTTTTAACAAACATTTGTTTACCAACGGTATTACAGACAGTCCCCTGTACTGGGCAAAATGAGGAAAGAAGAAACGGTGGTCACGTTCTATAGATATGTCCGGCCAGAGGTCACCACATACAGTGCTAAAAACTAATAGATAGTAGGGCTACGTATTATAGCTCAACGTTCTAATATCGTCAGTAATATCAAAAGTTTGCTGAAATCCTTTGAGGAGATTGCACGGCTCGTATAGGTATTAGGACTTAAGATAGAGGTTGATTTAAAAAATAGATTAAATATGCAAATCAACAGCATTGCGGAATCGCCAGCTCACTATCACGTTGAGCTAACCGGCATAGCAAACATACAGTCTAGTTTTCAAGTTTTGAGGTATACGTGACGGGATGTATCGTAATTTCCCGAACGCTGCCAAGCAGAGTTGTACCCGCCGATTTTTTTAAATAGGGTAAGAGTAACAAACGAGCGCAGAGCGGTTCTAATCGTCGACGATTGAATAATTTCTGATCGTCTTGATTCACTGGCGCTGCGTAGGGATGTTGCATCCCTTTGCATTTTCTATCGCATCTACCACGGGGAGTGCTCTGAAGAATTATTCCGATTAATTCCAGCGGCCAAATTTCACGAACTCATATCGCGTCAAAATTCACAATACCATCTGGATGCTTCGTCTACCACTGTGCGTTTTACTTGGAGTTTTCTTTCTCGTAGAATTTCTCTATGGAATTGTTTACGCTGGCGATTTTTCCGGACCGATACTACTTTTTAGGGACCTTTAAGAAAAGAGCTTACTCTTTTCTAAAAGGCCGGCAACGCACCGGTAATTCCCCTGAGAGTCTGTCAGCGATGCTGGAAGTTCTCTCAGTGAGATAACTTGCAACGTCGATTCGTACTCATCCCGCACCAAGCGATATTTTTCGTTACCGAAATTATTTCGGTAACGAAAAATATCGCGTGTATGTAAGGGTTATACAAAGTTGTAACAAAACCCTTTAAAAATAGCGCTACCCTTATTTTATACCGGTTGTATATCTGTGAATTTTAACCGCTTTCGGTCTACCTTTAAAAAATGGCGATATATGTATTGTACCTTATACAACCTTAACCGCAATTAATCCCTGGTTGGGAGACACTATTGAGCTCGTTGAGCATCGTGCTGAGGTGCTCCAGCGATTCTGCCGTAATGACTATATCGTCGACAAATCTAATAAGGTTGGTGATTTACTCGCCATTGATATTAATATCGTATCCATTCCAATCCAGTATCTTAAATCTTCTCTCAATACAGCAGTGAAGAGTTTTGGGGATGTAACGTAACCCTCTCTGCAGTTGGATAGCAAGTTAAAGTGGCAGATTGTATGTACTCTTCTCTACAATTTTCCGGAGAGTGTGTCGGCTTGTCCGGGAGGCCGGAAGTCGTCAAGTCTGCGTGCGAGGCGATTTGTAATGACTCTCGAAAACAGCACGTAGACACGGCTCCGAAGGGAAATTGATCTGTAGTTCTTCAATAGAGCGTTGTCGCCTTTCGTGAAAAACAAGATCACTCAATGCCTCCGGAGTAGTGCCACCATGGAGGACGGATTGAAAAGTTTCTGAATGATTTTAAGTACCGATTTTCCATCCGCTTTCAATAGCTCCGCTGTAATTTTATCCGCGCCCGTAGCCTAGCCGTTTATAATGTACACATTGCAATTTTTTACTAACTCTCCCCTCTATTAGACTTAAGATAAAGACATTGCTGTTTTTGTTATTTAAAAATGTACAATGTTTAACTAGCGTTACATAATGTAATAGGATATTTTGAACATATGAGTACTTTTATAGCTTCAAAATTACACCGCTGAACTAAAATTTTATATGCTACTAAGGGTAGATATTTATTTACACACTTAAATTAACAAAAATATGCATAACAAAGACAACTTTAACAATAATTATAAAAAAATGCATACAAAAAGTACTAAATTCGTTTTATCTAATAAGAAATCATTAACCATCGTAATCAGTCACTTATTATTACTTATATACTTTTAAATGTCTTAAACTATAAAATATTAAAAACCAATTAAGTGAATCAACTGATTGCGTCAGATTAACACTTATAACTTATAATTAAAATCTAGTGCACTTACTTGTACAGTTACAACTGCATCTTGTTTTAGTAGGGTTTTGGAAGGGTCTGTGGGATGTGGCGTGTATGTCACCGTTTCATCAACCGCTATGTAATGGCAAAATGTTAAATTTGTTGTTTTTAGTGTCATATGTCTCTGAATTGGATTCACTTCAGATTTTTCGCTAGCATAACATATATTAGCTGTACCAATGAGCTGAAAAAAATTGAAATTAACATTAGATAGATAGCATTACTTAAATAATGATTGGCCGGTGGCCTGCGTAGAGAGCATTGGTTACCGCGCCGCATGTTAGTCATTGAATTTCTAGGCTTTAGGCCTAAGTGGAAAGCGTTCGACAGGGCGTTCTGCATGTGAACTGAGGGACATTCATACTTTCATATTACCTGATGACATTTTTTACCGTAAGGAAAATAATATGGTGGGTCACTTGCAAGAAAAAAATTTTGAAGGTCCAAAAATACATATGAAATCAATCTATTCCACGATACAGCGTAAAACAGCTGATCCATTAGCTGTGAAATATTGAGTGATCAGAACCTTCAAGTTTAGTTACAAAAAAAAAACGTGTTTTTATCCATCGGAAAGTATTTATATTTAGTAAGTGTTGAAGAAAGGAAAACTACAATTCGGCGTTACCTTCAAATTATTCTTTCGGCCTTGCCTTTAAATTATTCTTTTGGTCAAGCGAGCCGTAAAAGTAAAATCGTAAAATAATTTAACGTGAACAAAAATAAATTGCCCCAAGCTTTTCTTATTAACATTTAAAATACATTTTTGGCCTAGCAAAATTAATCTTGTTCACACCAAAAAGTCTTGCCCTGCCCCTAGCTCCAACCTACTTTGTTGCTAAAGGCACGAGGCCGGTGTTCATTTTTAATTTATATATCTAGTTGCTGTCCGTCCCACACCAATTATCCAAAACACAAGTAGTGCTCGCAGAACGATAAAATTGAAAACATGATAACATTTTTTTTTAATTTGTCCGTCTGTTTTTTTGTCTGTACAGGATAATCATCGGAACGGCCAATTGATTGTGATGAAACTTCACGAACAGATAGAGCAATGTCAGGAGTGATCTAGATTTTATTTTATCCGAAAAACATGCAGGATTTTATTACGAAACTGAAAATCTGGTAAAATAAATACATAATATGAACACTCATCTTCTGGGTGATAGGCGTGAGATTTTTATACGTGGTAGTCATACTGCAGCTATATTAGTAGTATAGTTGTAGCACGAATGGGTCGGCTCGACCGGTTAAGGACCACGCTCTCACAGAATACCAGCGTTAAATAGGTTAACGCTGCTGTGTTTCGTATGGTGAGTGTAGAGAACCGGAGACCCTTTTTACTGGAAAGGAGGCATTCCATCTTAGTTCTCACGGGTGACAACGCATTTGCATTTTGATTCGTAATCGAGGATAGATGTAGATTTCTATGAGTCACAGCAACCACCAGGTGGACTGTGTGCTCGTTTGTCACCCTTATCCTATATAAAAAAAAGATGAGTAGGCAGAGACTACTGACTTCCATTGAGTACGATCATGACACACTTAAATTATGAAAGATTTTAAAGTTCTTCCGTAATTTTACCGTAATTAAGTATTTCGGTAATATTAGGTGCTACCCTTGCAGTTAAAGGATGGGATTGAAAATGGAGTCGCCTCTATTCACCTCTCGCTCGCATACTTTTGCTATCTATACTTACACCCGCCGGTAAAGACTGCAATAAAAATACGTTGCGATATGACTTTTTCATACGTTTTATAACTTCAATCCAACTCGTCATTTGAATCAATTATAACAAAATGCCATAAACTAAAAAAAAACAGTCCAGTTTTGTTAATTTGTGAGCTACGACGCGTTTTGAGATTTTTCTTCATAATTATTGTTGATTTTGATTGTTAATATTTTTATATAAAATATTTACATGCCATTGAGACACGCGTAAACATTTTTGAAATTTTCGTTTGTCTGTCTGTCCGAGCTCATCTTCGGGTTAGCTGAACCGATTGTAATAAAACTTCACGAATTAATAGAGAGTAATACCAGGAGTGATCTCTATTGGACTAAATTTTATCCGAAAATTTTAGAGATTTTATTAAAATAGAAATTTTGATAAGATAAAATAAATTTTCTTTAATTATTATCTTAGGTCGTTAGTTAGATCCCACGTAGGCGAAGCCAAAATGTGTCGCTAGTTATTAAGGTTATTTTAAAATTAATGTACCTACTTGCGTACACAATTCTTTTCTAATATTTTCTCATTACATTGAGTTATATGTACTACGTACTAGAGAAGCCACTCCGAACATTGACTATGTTCAACTGAACTGCAGTGCAATCCATACAAACTAAATATTGCGTAAATTGAAGATTTGTGAATTCCATAAAATAATTATTATTACATTTTATTTAGAAATATGTTTGTTTAGATTAGATTAAGATATTTTATATTAAATTCTTATATTTATTTTATATTAATATCTTATTTTAATATCAAATTAAAGTCTTCGCGCATGCTCGATTACTACTCCCGCGCATGCGCGAAGACATGAGTAGGACACAATTTTTGTTTGGAATGGCTTCTCTAGTACGTAGTACATATAACTCAATGTCTCATTAATAGAAAATGTCCCATTAACCGAATAATAAAAAAAACTATTATAACTTTAAACATAAAGTAAAAACCGATTTCAAATTACTAAAAAATAAGTTATTTATTTGCTACTCTTAGAGGTGTTTTTTCTCCAAATTTATATGGGACCACCTTTGAAGTATAACCTATTTAATAAAAAAAAGAATCATTAAAATCGGTTCACAACCTGTGTATCGCGTAACGTACACTCGAATTTAGAACCTTCTCCTTTTTGAAGTCAGTTAATAACAAAAAAGGACACACCGTGTGACTATGGCTATACGAAAACTGTCAGTTTTTCTTTATAATATACTAACGATCCTCCCCCTAGATCTATAATGCCACAATAATAGATCCTGTCCCTGCTTCGCCTGGACAGGATCTATTATTGTGGCATTCTATAAAAAAGATACTTTGAGACCATTTATTTTATCACATTTTGGTTTAAAAAAAACATTTTTGACCTCAATATCCACCTGGAATTTCTCTCTCCCAGTTCCTAAAGTTTCATCACAATCGCTTCAGCCATTCTGAAGATCACCAATACAAAGACAAAAACTTAAAAAAAAATTATGTCTTAATAGCATGGAAATAACCCCTCGAACTTAATAGAAAGCAGTTATTTTAATATTATAGACAGACACTTCTATTTTATTTAAATGTATAGGCAGGTATCAAACAAGCATAAATATCTAAGTACATCTATTCACGATTCAGAGTTTAAATACAGATGCGTCCTTATTCGTCAGGGGTGACAACCCCTGACGAATAAGGACTTAATGGAATGCCTCGTTTTCATTAAAAAGGGTCTTATTTTACATAACAACACGATGCATTTACGCAGCATTGAATTGTTTTTTTACGCTGGTATTGTGAGAGCTGAGTATGGCTCTACCACCACGTCTGAATTTTAATTATTTTTATTTATTTATTTATTTGCTTTTTAAGGGAAACATACAGTACAATAATAAATTACATAATAAAACATATAAAAGTAATCCTAAAAACCAATGAAGTTTCCACAATATTATTTTGTATAAAAATTAAAAATTTAAAAGAATAAAACTAGCTAAGTGGTATTCATAAATTAAAACATTAAGTAGTAAGTAGTTAAAAGTAACATTATATATACAACTCAAAGTGATACTACCAATGATATATTAAGTTTTACAATATTTTCTTTGTAACTATCATATTCAAGGTGAAATATATCTAATTTACAATATTTTAAGTTAAACTTTTTGCATGTACGAGATACACAATTATTTGAGGCATACCTTGTTTTAACTCTAGGTAATGCAAAAAGAGGTTTATTTCGTGCACCTAACCTGTGACACGCAAGATTCACTTTGCCTAAAAGTAGGGGAGAGTCGATGATATGATGAGGCAATTTGTACAACAACATTTGATCTCTTACTCGTATATCACGGCGTTTCTCGAGGGTATTGCTGTCTAAGTTATCAATAATGGAGTCTACAGAAGAATTATATCGCTTTAATTGACGCAGAAACTTATTGTTGATTGTTTCAATCATTTTAATATAAACTTTGTATTGAGGATTCCAACATGAAGAACAATACTCAAGAATAGACCGCACCAGAGTGTTAAATAGTAAGATAACTGTTGAAGACTTTTTAAAATCTTTTGAGATACGCATAACGAAACCTAGCATTTTATAAGCTCTTTTAGTTATAATATTAATATGTGATCTCAGTAACAACTAACTATCCAACTGAACACCAAGATCACGCAGTTCATTAACTCTCGTTAGTAAATTATCATCAAGCTTATAATCAAAGACGATAGGATTCTTTTTCCTGGTAAATGAGATAATGTTACATTTCTTAATGTTCAAGCAAAGATCGTTTGTTTGACAATATGCACTAAGCCTACATAGATCTTCTTGAAGTAGATGGCAGTCCTCTATAGTTTTAATAGATCAGAAAAATTTCATATCATCTGCAAAAAGGAGAATTTTGGAATTACGGAAGCAGGATATAACATCGTTTATAAATATTATAAACAGCAGTGGACCAAGATGAGAACCCTGAGGAACACCTGATGAAACTGGGAGAAATGATGAACAGTATCCCTTTATTGCAACCGCCCGACTACGATTTCTAAGATAAGAGGATAGCAATCGAAGTAAATCACCATGTACACCGATTTGATCTAATTTATGTATCAAAATATCATTTGAAATTTTGTCAAATGCTTTTGTATAATCGGTGTACACTGCATCTACCTGCAGTCCGCTTTTTTAGATAATTATTATATATAATATATTATATCATGTTCTTGTTATCTATACAAATAAATAAAATTGAAGTGTCTGTTTGTAATGTCAAAATAAAAGCTTTTTTCTAAATACATATGAAAGTATATACGATACTTATAACAAAAATACAATTTTTCAAATTTTTGTCTGTGTGTCTGTTTGATCCGGCTAATCTCCGAAATGGCTGGAAAGATTTTGACGGGACTTTCACCGGCAGGTAGTTGATGTTATAAGGAGTAACTTAGGCTACTTTTATTAAAGAAAAATAATTAGGGTTCCTCGCAAAAAAAAAAATTAAAAACCAATGAAATCCAATCGTAGTAAATTAAACGCGTGTGAAGTCGCTAGTTCATAGCAATAACCAAAAACAAAGCGCTTTTTACCTACTTAGTGGGCGTTTTAGTCATACGTGGGTTTTAGTTTTTACCTTTCTTTCTATGATTTTGAATAATTCATGATTTTTATGAACTATTTTTTTTGTAATCCTAAAGTGAACGAACGAACAAACACGATAATCTACATTATATATAAAAATCAAAAACTCGACTGATTAATTCTTTTGAATGTGTTTGAAGGTAGATGGCGCTGTTGTCGAGATCCAGAAATCACACGTGCGAAGCCGGGATGGATCGCTAGTATAGTTTTATTTCTTCATTATTTAAATAATTTATTTTTATTATAAAAATAAAGTAAGTAAATTGAATTTGATAAAATGTTATATAGCCAAACACGCATATTTCACAGTTTAATCCCATTATGTAATCTGTATATTATCGAAATACACTCATTACTACGTAATACGTAAAAATTACTACGTTATTAGCAGAATGTCACCGACAGTTATGCATTAGTTATTAGCGGACCATTTGTGTTCGTGCTCCGGTAGAAATAGCACTTTTGCATAGAAATGTGCGGGCATACTACATAAGCGAATGTAAAACATCGAAATCAACTTATTACAAGATACCTACACTGAATTAATATATAAAACACCACATTACATTATTATCTATACAAATAAATAAACTTAAAGTCTATTTCAAATAAATTCTATCTATTGTCTTTCTATTGTATAATAAAGTCTATCTAATATCAAAATAACAGCTTTTTACTAAATGCATATGAAAGTATTTACGGTACTTATAACAAAAAAAAAAACAATTTTTAAAATTTTTGTCTGTCTGTTTGTTCTGGCTAATCTTCGAAACGCCTGGACGGATTTTGACGGGATTTTCACTGCAGATAGCTGATGTTATGAGTAACTTATAATTTTTGTTTTAGTAAAAGAATTAGGGTTCCGCGCAAAACAATTAAAACTCATGAAATCCAATCAACAAACAAATTCCACGCGGGCGAAATCGCGGGGAATAGCTAGTTATTTATAAAAAAATGTATCTTGTCAGTACATATATTATAGTAGTAATCGTTGAATATGTTCACAGTTTCTTTATAAACTCTATTAGTATGTCTTTGTTTTTTTTTTATAGGATAGGGTGACAAACGAGCACAAAGTTCAGCTGATGGTAAGTGGTTGCTGGGACCCATAGACATCCACATCTATCCTCAATAAAGAATCAAAATGCAGATGCGTTGTCACCTGTGAGGACTAAGATGGAAAGCCTGTTTTCTAGTAAAAAGGGTCTCTGGTTCTCCACACTCACCATACAAAACACAGCAGTGTTAAGTTGCTATTTTACGCTGGTATTCTGTGAGAGTGTGGTCCTTCCCCGGTCGAGCCAACCCATTCGTGATACAACTATACTACTAATATAGCTGCTGTATGACTCTACCACGTAAAAATTTGTAAAATGTTTAATAGAGATGTATTCGAAAGGATAGCCAGAGTACAATTTAAGACAAATGGCGGGTGATCAAGGGCTACGCGTATGGTAGGTTGATTCGAATTCAGATATTTTTAATAAACTTTTTTTTACACTTTTGTTTTTATTGCTTTAGTATGAAAAGATAACTTTTAAAAATAAAACAGGCTCCTACTCCGTTCACCTATTACACCCTATATTTTCCTCACGGTAAAAAAAGTCAGTGTGTGGTTTCTTTTGAAATTTAAGTTCAAAACTAATCTATAAATAACTAGTCAGAAATATCAAGATGTAATTAATTAAACTGTTAATAGAAAAATTACTTTCCATTGGAAGTTAACTGACGAAACAGTGAGGTATTCAAGTACAAGGTATGCAGAAAGATTTGTTTAATAATCTCAAAACCTGACCAAGATCAAGCTCGCCATCTAGCTGTTCCAACTGAGGAATCTAGTCACTGTTAGGTGCGTTGAATTGTCAAATTCATCAGTATCCTTTGTGCAATGCCACAAAGTTTGGTTGCTAAGTGGCCACAAGTTTGGACTGTTCCCTCGATTTCAAATCCTTATGGAAGATTTGAAGATGGCGTCAGGAGACATGACAGTATGACAAACGCTACGATATGGCAAAGCACTCTTGTGGCATAAAATGTTCATAGACATTTTGGCACTCATCTCAGAGTACCTCTTTAGAGACGGGGCAATATTAGAGGTGGCTGAACGGAATAAATGGCGCAAATATGGCTTTCTAAGAAATCACTATATATATATACTATTTGCTGTAGATACTATCGTTCTGTGAGATCCATGTGTGGTAATTTTCCAAAGGAACTGAATTAGCGACTGATCTTGGCCGCTGGTGAAAAGAGGGCTGGTTCTTATCTTGCTCAAAAGTATATATAAGAATCAAAATCAAAAGTAATATATACTTACTATAGCCATTAAATTAGGATAAACAGCCGGTATTCTTAGAACAATACTGTGGGGAGTAGAACTATAATATAATAATTTTGTGGTAAATAATATAGTTTTATTTGCTATATACCTATTTACTCTAATAAAGAGTATTGTAATATGAATATTTTATATTTATTGTAATATAAAGTATTATTGCTAAAACTACCAGATTCATTTTCTGTTCAAATGGCAATAAATGCTCCATTGAAATTAGTACATTGGTTTAATGCCAACTATTTGCCTTTTAAGGCCAACAAAACCAAATGTATAAAACATTTCCAATAATTAATTTTAAAATATTGAATAATGTGCTCTTAAGTGAGGAGGAGTTGAATCTTGTGGATTTTACTGTATTTCTTGGAATTGCTACGGACACAAGGATCTAAGGGGCCCTTCATATATCTAAATGATCAAGCAGACTTAGTTCTGCAGCATTATGCTGCAACAAAGATTAAAAGTCTCACTAATGCTGATACAGTTAGATTGGTCTATTATATGTAACTTACATCAAAACACTAACATTCAAAACTATTGGTTTTGCAAATGAGAAGGGCAATTTATTAAATAAATTGTAAAGTCACTTAGGGAAAAGTTCGCGAAATAAATATTAACTTCAGCCATTACCAGTACTATTAACATTACAGCATATCTTAAGTCTGCTGTTTAACATATGCCTCCTACATAAATTGCCTATTTGGGGGGATATTTGCCTCCCTTGGCAAATGGGTTTGGCAATGTATATTGTATATATGCAGTTTTTTTATATCATTTTTAACATGCTGCTGCCCATCTGGGATAGTGAATAATCTTACACAATCACTACACAACACTTTTTAATTTAAAGTGTCACAATATATTTCTTAAATGTAATGTTGCATACATAAAAATGTTAATAGTTCCAATAAGAACAAAGATATTCTTTATTTAATACTGGAAACAAACTTAAGATTGTAATGCCAGTTACTAAGTTCCACAGAACTAGTCATTATTATGTTAAGTAAATGAGTTAGTAATTACATCTTAATATTTTTAATAGCTAACATAATATTTGATGAAACAATCATAACCAGCTATAATTTTATTCAAAATTGTTTTTTTTAAAATTATGGTTACAACCATAACTGGTATGATGCCAGCAAAATTTAGTAGTACTTTACGAAAAAAGTAATAAACAAAAATACTCTATTTTTTCTGTGTGGATATTATTCTTAACAAATCCATAAAATAAAACTTTACAAAAATTACCTATAGAGAAAAATAACTTAAATTTCACAAAAATCCATAGAAAATTCAATCATAACAGTGTTACAGAACTATATAGTTCTATTTCTATGTCTATATTTTAAGGATAAGAACTACATTCAACAAAAGCAAAGGTATTTTCTATGTATTCTCTTTTACTCACATTTATTTTTAATAACAATTTTTAAAAATAAATAGTAAGAAAATACCTTTGCCTTTTCCTAAAATGTACTATGTATGTTTAAATAAATAATAGTCATACCATGCACTTTCATGCACTTTATGAATTTTTGTGAAATTTGAATTTACTTACACCTACAACCATGCCATTGTCGCTGCAGTTTTGGCTTAGCCACTTTGGCATCGTCATTGCAACTTTGGCCTAGCTGATTGCCTGGCAATCTATCCACACCCAGAATACCTGCAGTTTGTTACAGCTGGCAGGTTCCTTTCCTGCCTGTAGCTGTTCAAAAATACTAAGGGTAAAACAAACATATGGAGTTCAATTCTACAACAGTTTTCAAATTTATCCTGGAATTTATGTCTGTCTCCAGTTAATAAAATCCAAAATAAAGACCCAAAAAATGTGTGGTATTAAGTTAGTCTTTAAGTTATAATCAATATTGAACTTGATTTGTTGCCATATTTGTTAACAGAAAAAAAATTGAATTAGAATAACTAGTAATAATGTTAAAAACAAAATTACATAAAACATTTATAGATCATTTGTAATCTGTGGAAATTAACATTAAAATGACACAAGTCAGTATGTTTTAATTGTAAATTTCACACAAGTTAAAACAGGTTTTAGATAATATCTGGAAAACTATGCATACCCACATCATATTTTAAGATTAGACTAACAAAAATAAGATATACCCCTTATATAACTTTATTTATATAGATTGCAAGTTTTGTCCAGTTGAACTGATAAATAATATCATTGTGCAGATTTGTTAAGAATATTAAAGAATACACAAAGAAAAAATTGAGCAATTGGGTTTTTTACCCTGTTTGAGAGTCCAGAATTCCTGTAATACATGCCATTAAGAAAAAATATTTTTATGAAAATCATACCGCTTGAGCCCATCTAGGAAAAAACCATTTCGAACTGACAAGCCTGCGAGTGTGTAATACCCCATCGACGACCTTTCTTTCAACCACGTCGGTTCCGATGACAGCAGGGTTCATAGGATTGGGATACTTACGCCAAGCTGCTTGAGCAACTGTTTCCCAAGGATGGCTAAAATATTTAAAAAATAATTATACCATAATATATAACAAAAATCCATCATATCCTTGTTGCGTCACATACTTGAAAGTGTGTTCTGAAGTCCAAATCTTCATATTTGTAGAACCCTTAGCACAGTTCTCAAAACAAAGACAAACTAACAATATTTAGATAATTTCTTTTTTCATAATTACGTGCAGGTTCATTACATCTGTAATGCGCTGTAATCTTAAAATGTAACCCAGAATCCCAGACCACTTCCTCCACAGTCCACAGTCCACTACCAGCTACCACAGCACTTTAAATGACAGTAACAGATGACAGTTGAGTTGACATAATTGATTTTTTTTTTGGAGTTTATGGCCTGGTATCTAGACCTTTAGGCCAAGTCTTAAGTATTTTTATTCGGTTTATTGTAATTTCCCCACTCCATAGTATACTGCTTCACAATATGTTGATGCGTCACATTGTGCAGTTCTTGGGAGATTTTGGCGGCAACTTGATCCAGCAGACAGCTGATAGTTGGCGATGGTATCTAAAGGTGCCTATGCAAACAAACAGCTTATCTTGAGAATCCATCACCATCAGAGCACTTGTTTCACTGTTTCCACTAATAGTTCACATGCGTAGACACTTAATACACAAAATCGCAACACTTTTACATATCAAAGTCCACTTCAAACTATTATTTAAACAATAATACAGGAGCAGCAAACCGCCGCCGGTCAATTTCCCGCCAAAACTCCCTGACATAATTTTAGTTCAGTGTTGCCAACTCACCACCGTGGGAGTAGCAAGTGCGCGCAAGGCAACTCTGCGCGCGGCTGAAATTGGAACAAATCGTGTGCCACCCATGAAGTTATAGATAAAGATGGAGACCACACTCCGCATACCTACTTGAAGCTTAACCTATGTATTACTATCTCGTTCTCTGTGGGCAGACCCTCCCTTTCTAAGTAGGTAACCTTTATTTTATTTTTCCCAGGATATCCCTATAAGTAGTTGAGTTACATTAAGTGTTTTATTTATAAATATCTATATCTCTGTTTACTACTAAGACCTAGCCTATATAGATTATATATTTTTGTACAATTTTTTTTTTGGGAATTAACTAGTTTTATGAAGAAAGGTTTTCATTTCCATGGGCAGAACCGGTATTAAAATATGACCACACATTTCCGTCACAACCCATATAATGCCGAGCCTATTTAGAAAATGTGGAAAATAAATATATCAGAGAATATTTTATAACTACCATTTCGATAATGTATTTTCTGGTTATTGTATACAATTCCTAAACGGTACCAACGAAATATAAAATTAAAATTTATTATAACCCCGGGTGATCAATGAATTGGGCAAAATATACCTGATTTATTGTTCAGACAGACTAAATCTATTTCTGGACAATTATTTAAAAAAAATATCACGAGGACTAAAGCAGCGTAGCGGAGCTCCTGCCTTAGCCTTCTGACCAAACCCATCCGAGTCAGGCTGCTCTGAGCTGAAATGTGTTGCTGAAATGTGCTATATTCCACACATCCAGTTCATTTTAAGAATTATCTACAATTCCTAGGAATTCTATATAATAACGGATTTCATAGATTTCTAGTAACATATGTACTATAATAGGAACGATAATATATTATTATTTTGACTTGTTATCAGGAAGATGCCGCTGCCCATCTCCTGTTTCATTTTCCCTCTGACACCTCTTACAACACCCTCGGAACGATATGGGGTAGTGGATATTCTCACACCACCACTACATGGTTTGTTAAAAACCTTAAAAAAATAAATAAAAACACTTTCCATATTAAAATTATTTATTGAATTTTTCACACCACGTGGATTACTCTGTGGCTTTTTGAAGTCCTTACAGATATGAGCAAAGCGCCCTTGAATAATATTTTCAATTTCTGACTGACCCGTATACTTTTTAATAGTGTCCAGTAAAGAAGACCTATCCTGAATTTTTTAGTTTGGCGCGCCACTTTTTGCTTAAGAATCTTAGTTTTCGTCTCAAGTATTTCTTCTTTAGTACACTTTAATTTCACTTGCACGCCCCTATCAATCTTCGCGGTATCGTCGTATTCACTGCTGACCTAAGAAAACAAGAAAACTTTATGAAATCAGTATTTTTAGCATCGTACATCGTATTGCTCCACTCATAAGGGTCGTAGCATGATGTTAGATAGACTTCCTGAAGAATTGGTTTTAAAATTGCAAAAAAATATTTTCAAATCAGGCTGGTATAGTTCCAGAGATTAGAGAACTCTAACAAAAAAAAGAAACAAATAACTCTTCTACATCATAATGTCAGTACAAATTTACATCACTTAATAGGTAACACATAATACACCGGAGCGTGCCTTCATGAGCACGCATAAATGAAGCATCAAACAAGAAGCTTTATGCTTAGTGTCGTAGTAACGGTTACCACACTGCGATTGGCACTAATGAGTTTAAATATTATGTAATGTAATATTAAAGTCATAATAAATACAAATAAAAGGTATTTATTTAGTAATAAAGGAAAAGGACACTTACAGGTAATTTGTTAAGATTGCATAAATTTTCAAGAATTTTTCGACATTGTTTTTTACTAGTTTGGTCTTCAATATTACAGCCAGTACATTTCACTTCTGTTTCCTTAAGTGCAGAACTACTTTCATAAATGCCAGAACTAGTGCTTGGTACAGCCAGAGCAGCTATTTGCACAATAGACTCTTCATGTAATGCACTTATTGTCTGCAAATAATAACATATTTTACAAAATGTTGCTTTATATCATACATCTAAACTACTACATTTCTAAATACATAATTATTATAAGCGTTATTAAAGTATCAGAATAATGAGAAACAAAAACGAAATAAAAATAAATTATCTACCAAAAGAATATATTATGTTACTCATTTTTAATTTAATATTATGAAATCTATCAAATCCCTCATTATATAGAATATATAGGAAGTGTACATAATTCCTAAATTTCATGCATTTCCGGTAACATAATAAGAAACATGTACATATAATTAGTTAAGGTCACACGGAAAGTCTCAGATACATCATCAATATGGTCACACTACTTCAGTGCGATTTCTTTTAAACAAAAACAATAAAATTGTTCAAACTTAATTAAATTCAATGTAAATCTATTTGATTTTGACAAAGTTATAATATACTAATATGTTTAAAACACTGACAAAACGTTTCAGCAAAAAATTAAGTGAAAATACAAAACGTATGTTTACAAGTATTCAATGTCAGAAGTCACTATTTAAACACTTCCGTGTGAAATCTTATATCACCTCCTGGACACCAACTACTGCCGCAACCACGTACTACACAAGTTTGCACCATTTCTTGAATTATAACAATAATTAACTTTAAATATCTCAAACGACGCTGTGAACTGCTAAGTAAACAACCGCCATATTTGTCTAATTTATGTTGACATATAGGGCTAATGTTGCCATATTACCGAATCCTTAGGAAATGGGATTGTAATTCACTGATTCGTGAACCCAATAATGCATACGAGACCTTCAATTTTGGAATTTTTAATGTAACTAATCGTAGATCAACTATTTATTTATTGGTACATTATTCTACAAAGCTTAACTTCTGATTTAGTTAGAGTGGAAATTATTTCTAAGAATTTACCGGGAGATTCAAATAAAAACATAGCAATATTGTGTTCCACACTAAAAAGAGAAGTCAGATCACAGAGAGTGAGATAAAGATACGTAGGTGTTTGACTCAAGCTATTGTTCCAAGTGTGGCCTCCAGCTTTATCTATAACTTCATGGTGCCACCATTTAACTGTTTATGGCAGGTGTCAAGACAGAGTGGTAAGTGTCGTATTTTTATTCGTTTTTGCAGTAAATAATCGTTATCATTATGCCGAAAGTGATTAAAAGTGGTGGCAGGGATATTTTCTTGAAGGTCAAACGTGCATGTGAAGAAGAACGAGACAATAACGGACCTATAGTACCGTTCTCCAAAGTTAGAGCTCACGTTGTATATTTAACAGGTAATTTTTAGGGCTGCCATAATGCATTAAAACAATGCAATATAAAATGCAATAAAACTCCCCAATGTTCTCTATTTCTTTGTTCTTAGTTTCCTCATGTCATTAATATCATGCATTTATAATGCATTGTTTTTATTTTGTTTAGGTGTTTCTGAACGCACCGTCACCCAGATAACTCAAAAGGGTAATATAGCAGCAGCTTCATCTTCTAAAATTGTGACGCCGGGAAAAACTAGGAACCGGTGGAAAAAAATTATGATTTAGACGATTTTGATATGTGTGCCATAAGCCATTTAATTCAATCGTTTTACGTCGCGAAGAAAGAGAAACCTACCATAAATAGACTTTGGTTGGAATTGAAAACTGATATTGGTTTTAAATATGGCAGAACATCGTTGAGGAGTATTTTAAAGACTATGGGTAAAATATATAAAAAATGCTAGTCTAAACGAAAAGTATTGATAGAACACAGTGATATTGCAGCTTGGAGAGCAAAATATATTCTGAGACTACGCAAGAATCGTCAGGAAGAAAATCCACCGGTCATTTATGTTGACAAAACGTATATACATGCTTCATATCACCTTCAAAAATGTTGGCAATCGGAGGAACATCCTGGTATTCTTGCTTCTAATAGCGTCTGATAGGGCTCATGGTGGAGGTAAAACTGAGTTTGTTGAAAACGGACTGCTACTGTTCAGCTCTAAATCCAAATCGAATGACTATCATGACTATATGAATTCCACTAATTTCATGCGGTTGATGAAAGAAAAAAATGTTTCGAATCTTCCACCGAATTGCATTGTAGTGATGAATAATGCGTCATACCATTGCACACAGATAAGCAAGGAGCCTACAATTGGCAATACAAAAGCAGAGCTCCAAGGATGGCTTACGAGAAATGGTATTAAATTTGAAGATTATTGGACGAAAGCTCAATTATACGAATTAATTAAAAAACACAAACGAGACCCACAATATGAAATAGGACATATGTTAAATGAACATGAACATGATTCTCCGTTTGCCGCCTTACCACTGCGATTTAAACTCCATCGAAAAAATTTGGGCAATAGT